CGTACAGTAGAAACGGTCGCACGTCTTAGTTCACACTGCTCGATTCTCGTACGATCGCGGGATTTCGCCCGATTCTCGTACGAGAATCGAGCAGTGTATGGGCACCTTCACAATGATTCAGCCCTCGGAATAGAATCCTGACTGTAAGCACACATCTGCAGGACAGGTCTTGTCTCAAGCACACCTGCTGCAGGTAATCAAGGGCTGCATTAGCTGCACCTGGTGTGCTTGAGCTAGAACTCACCCGGACAGTCCGGGTGAGCGGCTGCATCTGCATCACTTCCTATCAGCCACGTCACCTGTAAACAGGCACCGGCCCACACATCTCCTCCGCCTCCAGCTCCTTCCAGTCATCACGCTGCCCGCCTCCAGACCCCTGGTGAGACCCCTGCACATTCCGCACAGCAGAGCCTGTATAGCCCACCAGAGAGCCTACATAGCCCACCTGAGAGCCAGCTTACTTAGCCCACCTGAGAGTCCACATAGCCACAAAAGATCCTGATTAGCCCACCAGAGAGTCTACATAGCCCACCTGAGAGCCTGGTTAGCCCATCAGAGAGCCCACATAGCCACCTGAGAGCTTGCTTAGCCCACCTAAGAGCCTGCACAGCCCACCTGAGAGCCCGCTTAGCCCACCTGAGAGCCCGCTTAGCCCACCTGAGAGTCCACATAGCCACCTGAGAGCCTGCTTAGCCCACCTGAGAGTCATCATAGGTATAGGGCCCCTGCCAGGCTCTTACTGTGGTCTTTGACTCATTGGAGAGATTTCTCTTCATTTCATGTCTGGACAGGAAGTGAGGGGAAATCTCTCCTGTGGGGACACACAGACGTTTCCTGTTTTTAGTATAGCGGCTGCCTCCATGTTTTTCTTCAGGATGTTGTATGTAGCTGAGGACTTCCTGTGTGACTTCTCGTGTCTTGTGCAATCTGGCTCCTTCGTCACCTGCACCCGCCTATCATTACCGTTCCTCGGCTCCGCCCCCTGTGTACCTGTCTGACCACTGCTCAGTGACTCACAATTGTAGTCCGGCTTAATTCTGCATGGGAAACCCACAGAGTATTTTCTTTTCCTGCTACACCTTCTTCCCAGAATGGGTGCACCCACAATTTAAAGGGCCCATCCACCCTGAAGTGATGGATTAGTCAGAGCTGAGTCAGCACCTGACACCTTCCTTGCCTGGGATATACCAGTGAGATCTCCCGACTATAATGCTCCACTCTGTCCCTGCCCACCTTTGTGTGTCTCGGCTCCTCCCATTACATTCTCAATATTACCGTATAAAATAAGTATCAAATCCAGCAGGGATGGTGGGAGCCCCTCATAATGGGCACAGCAGATGTACAGACCCGGGAACTCAGCACAGAGATGGTGGGAGCTCCTCACAATGGGCACAGCAGGTGTACAGACCCGGGAACTCAGCACAGGGATGGTGGGGGCCCCTCATAATGGGCACAGCAGGTGTACAGACCCGGGAACTCAGCACAGGGATGGTGGGAGCCCCTCATAGTGGGCACAGCAGGTGTACAGACCCGGGAACTCAGCACAGGGATGGTGGGAGCCCCTCATAATGGGCACATCACTAAGAAAAATAGTGCAATGTAATGCAAAGTTACACTTGTTACATTTGCACTGCTGGTTACTGAGCAACAAAGCCATGAATGTGCGGTGGACAAACATGTCTACCAGCCTTCTAGCTTCACCTGGGACACAAAGCAAAACACCTCAAATTAAAAGCTGCCGTCCTCAGCAGTAAAGCTGGACCTGCAGCGTCTGGAGCTGGCTTCTTTCACCTGAGGCTTCTCACACAGGTACAGGGAGAAAAAAACGTATAGACAGCCAATGTTGACCTTCCAGAAATGATCAACAAGTGGCTGTCTCTGGCTTCAGTATGTTCCAGCATGTGGCATGCAATGTCAGCAGGGAGATCGCTCGGTCTGGGTACTTGGTGTGAAGCCGCCAGATCACCATGGCAGGCGGCAAAAGGGAGGTCAGCACCAGCAGCAGGAAACACCACAAGAGCAGCTTTTACACTGCAGATTACTTGGCAATGGTAGCAGATGCATCAAAATGAAAAGCACGTTTCACAGGCGCCAAACTCTCCTCCCCCTTTACATTTTGTCCCCTACTTGACCTTCGTTCCAACCTGACATCTGCACTCACCGCTGCTCCTCCATCGTCCCTTCCTCCGCCATATAATTGAAGGGCACATATCCCTGCTCGCCGGTTTTACCACCAAGGGCGTTAATCCTGTCCACCAGCCACCAGTCCCCGCTCCGGTCCACGGCTTGGAAGCGGTCGCCGGCCTTGAAGCTCAGTTCCTGCGTCCCGCTGCCGTCGAAGTCCCACAGGCTGACATACCTATGTACCGGCGTTGTCATGATCACATAACCGTCCATGGCAAAGGGACTGATCAGAATGAGAGCCCTGGCAGCTGCATGGCCAGGATAGGTGAATATCAGATGGGAATTTCCAGCAGTGGGGTGGCTCCTAGGAGAAGAAGGGTGTGGAAGACTCAGGACTGCAAGAAATATGGAAATATCACCGGCTGGGTCAGTCTTAAGTGATTAATGGGTTATCACCGACTGTAATTCTGCTTCTACTTCCTCATTGCTGTCAGCATTACACCTAACTGCAGAGCAGAGGACAATCTGGGAGGGGACAGGAGCACGAAAGTCACCTGCTCACATCACTTTCTTCACTCGCTTGTCTTCAAAACGACTTGATACAATGCGTGCCGTTTGTCCTATGACCAGGAAACTGCTCTATACATTGTATATCTATATGATTTTATGTTTGTTTTTACAATTGCAGTGTTTTGTAATCATAAACTTTATTTATTTATATACAAACAAGTCTTTTTGTGCTGTAGATCTTTCTTGGGCGCTATATTCAGAGTTCTCTGTTTTCTTCTCCGTAGTTATAACATCGATAAGATTGTAAAATTGATTTGGCTGCATTCTCCCCCCTTTTTTTCTCGGTTAATAATAATAAAGGCAGACAGTGATAATTACTTTGAACTTATACCGGCTTTGCGAAATAGTCAAAGAGATAAGTGAGAGATAAGATGAAGGTTTTAGTGTAGAATGACACTTTTTTGGTAGTCATGTCGTAACTTTGTATATCAGACCAAAAAGAGAGGGACAACTAAGTAGGAAAGAGGGACAGAGGAAATTGGTTCCAAATGAGGGACAGTTGGGAGTTATAGGAGCTATAGGTGCATAGGTGGTCATTACAGAAAGGGGCCTTCTTATATAATCAGTGGAGAAGGGCCTTCTTTTATAGGTGGTCAGTGGAGAAGGGCCTTCTTTTATAGGTGGTCAGTGGAGAAGGGCCTTCTTGTATATTGTATAGGTGGTCAGTGAAGAAGGGCCTTCTTGTATAGGCAGTCAGTAGAGATGGGCCATAATCTATAGGTGGTGAAGGGCCTTCTGATAGAGGTGGTCAGTAGAGAAATAACTCCTTATAAAGTTGTAGATGATCAGTGGGAAAGGGCTTTCTAATATAGGTAGTCAGTGGAGAAGGTCCTTCTTTTATAGGTGCTCAGTAGAGATGGGCCTTCTCATATAGGTGGTCAGTGAAGAAGATCCTTCTTGTATATTGTATAGGTGGTCAGTGAAGAAGGGCCTTCTTGTATAGGCAGTCAGTAGAGATGGGCCATAATCTATAGGTGGTGAATGGAGAAGGGCCTTCTTATATAGCTGGTCTTGTATAGGTCCATAGTTTGTTAGTGGGGAAGGTTCTCTTTGTATAGATGTTCAATTGAAAAAGTCATTCTGATATATGTAAGTGTAAAGGTGGTCAGTGGATAAGGATCTTTTTATATCGGTTTACAGGTGGTGAGTGAAGACGGGCTTTCTTATATAGTTGGTCAGTGGAGAAGGTTTCCTTTATATAGGTGTTTAGGCGGTGAGTGGAGAAGGGCCTTCTTCTATAGGTGGTGTCAGAGATACCTGGGGAGACGCTTCGGTTTCCGCTTTTCACTCACCTCATAGTTCTAGCCGGCCTGTGACAATGAGACTGTCACACGTCAGCTCAATAGATCGGGAGGTGAGCGAACACACACCGACGTTCGCTCACTTCTCGATCCTGTCACGGCTCTCTGCCGTGACAGGGGAGGGGATGGATTCCCCCCTCCCCGCTCCGATCCACCAGCGCTGACTGGCGGAACGGACGGGGGAGGGGGCGGGTACAGCTGGGTCGGCCTCTAGATAGGCAGGACCAGCTGTCACTCACGCACCTGGGCGGATCTCGACATCAATGTCGGGATCCGCTCCGGCTGCGGCGTCTCAGTATACCGCGAGCTGTAGCTCGCGGTATACTGAGCTTAGGGTGGGAGGACGCTAGTTTGTGTCCTCCTGTTACCCTAAGGAGAACTATGGGGAAAAGCCCTGACCCCATAGTTCTCCTTTAACCCTATTACATACAAAGTTATTCATTGGACTTTTGCAGGGGGTAATCTGACTCTTTGTGCACACTGGAGGATACCACCACTATTGCTAAAAACTAGTATACGTGTATGACGTAATACATTTCTCTAAAGATTTCAAGTTATTAAAACCCTTCTTATGGATTCCGTATGATGAAATACAGATTCTTCCATTTACTTATTTTGTAACCATTAGCTATCTTACCTGCTGTGGTATTCAGACTCTCTTGGAGTCTAGCTTCATAGACTCTCTCCCAATCCTGGAAGAAACCGCTCTGCAGCTGCATCAGTGATCCATAGACAGTACACCACACATAATAGAATTCAGCGTCACTGTTTCTGAGTGAAACGTTACAGGTGGCCAGTGGAGAATGGCTTTCTTATATAGATGGATAGGTGGTCAGTGGAGAAGGGACTTTTTTTTATAGGTATGTAATTGGATAAGGACCACCTTAGATTGCTGGTTAATATGAAGAATGTCCACCTAACAGATACTGTAGCTAAAAAGATCATTGGTGTCAGTAGTTACTGTTTGGACAGGCGCTAATTACTCATTCCTCAGTGAACCCCTACCAACTTCTGGAGGAACTCTAGTGTTCAACAGTACCCTGGTTGAGAAACGCTTCGCTATGTGGCTGCTATTGCTGTTTGTGGGATTCAGCTTCTTTATATGTCCTGTTGACCATTATCACTGGGATACATGGAAAAAAAACTAATTGCCAGCGCGGATATATGGATGCATAAATGACAGACACATGGATACATACATTACATTTTTATTTCCTGTGTTGAAAAGATGAAATGCCACTTTTAAGGGTTAATGAAGTGGAGCCGATGCAGCACACTTCCAGAGTTTGCATATATCTTTACAAAGCATAAATTATAACCTGTACAGTATATAACGTTTCCTGCAATAGACAGGTGGACCAGGGAGCCGTCCCCTGGCTTGTCTTGTGTTCCAACGGAGGGCGCTATCTCCAGACACATTCTCACCTTCAGAGTGGTAGGAAGGGCAAAGAAACACAATTTAGCAAAGAGCAACAACAAATCTATAGGTTGGAGTAGCTCTAAAGGAGAGCTGGCTGTCATAACTGCCATTAAAAAATTTTGCTTTCCACAATCTCCTGAAAGAAGGGTCGGCTATTCGGATCCTGGTGCCAGCATCTTAGCATTAAACTGTAGATCTCGCTGGTGCATAGGGGAGGCTGGGGCAGTCTGTAACCCGCTGTCACCTTTGCATACACCTCCTCCATAGTTTTAAAAGCTAGGAAGACAGAAAAATGATGTTAAAGGAAAGTGGTCACAGATTCAAGGTCAACATATGATGGAGAAATACGTAAGTGGAGGTTACTTTCAGTGGACACCATAAGTCAAAACGTTCAGTAGATTCGGAAATATAGGCAGATGACTGATCCTCCCTATTGGACTTTTACTGGTATAGGAGGCTTTGCTGTCCATCTGAATGTCCAAATTGGAATTTCATGCTTGTACATGGCCCAATTTTTACTGGGTTAGTTGTTCCCTAAATATCCCCTCTTGATATAGTGATGAAAGCTGCCTTGCTTTCACCATCTCTTGGGGTAGACTGCCTCCAGGGGAAGAGTGTTTATAATGGTTGCGCCACAAGTCAGATTAAAGTCGCCATAACCGTCTTTATTGCACATCTAGCATCGGAAGTGTGGCATTTCCAGCATTGCATAACATGAGCTGCCTGTTCACAGCAATGAAATATAACAGATACAAATTAATCATAGCCGGCACAGCTCTAACCACACAACAGATTTTCCTTCTAGGGAGAAATGGTGCTCCAGGTGCCAAATAAAATTAGCCCTTGCTTGTAGAGCTGCCAGCGCACGGTGTTTCTTTGTACAGTCTCATGCTCAAGGTTCCATGAGGTTTGAAAGAGATTGAGAGATACTCCTGTGAAGGTAACTGCCTCGTCTGTCAAGAAATCACGGCAAAGGAATAATTGATCGTGCTTACGTCAATTTCTGTGCCATGTGATGATCGCCATCACATGGGGTTGGCGAAAGGCTTGTAAGTCACATGTAAGCTAGTGTTGAATTAGAGCTCAGTATGGGGTTCTAGAAGGCCCCTTTAAGGACTTGCTTGCCCTTGAATATCTTTTACTTGAGTGTGACGGGTACAATATTGTGGTAGTTATGGACAAATGTCTTGGTGTTTCTTCCTTCTTCCTACAACATGGGAATTTTAGAGCTGGAGAGGAAAATTATCTTACCTGTGTACGGTAGTTGCCCCAGGGTGAAGATCTCATAGAGGACAATTCCGAAAGACCACACATCTGTTTTGGTGGAAAATAACGTACGCTGTAGAACCTCTGGTGGCATCCACTGTACCGGGACAATAGGATTTTTTAGAAAAACAAGATGATCCTGTGGGATGAAGAAACACATTCTTGTTATTGTGGAAATATTATGCAATGAGACATTTACCCTTAACCACAAAAATTGCGCACTGCACAAAAACAGAGCTCTCTATTTCCATCTGCAGTCTTCAAATGTCCAATTGTTGCTTCACTGTAACATGGTGGCCTGGTGGTGTTATGTCTACTCAATATGTAATTTCTTGCTTTTGTGATTGGCTCAATACGTTTACCGAAACTGACATAGAGCTACAAATTACTGACACTGTCACTCAGGGGCTGACTGGCAACTTTTAGCCCAGGGGGCAAGTACAACCCAGATGCCCATGGTGCAGCAACTTGGCCCCCCTCCCGCTCTGCCTCTTCCCTGCCTTCTCCCCGCCCCCGTCTGCCACGTTTGCCATCCATGTAACAGTAGTGAATGGTCGGCTGATGTGAGGACTCCTAGTAAGTTCATGAAAGGGGTGATTGGCTGGGGGAAGGTGCTCTCCTCCCACTGTGCTCCCTACATGGTTCTGGCCTTACTCCGCTCCATGTCTGGTACTTAGGCACTCTCACCCACTGTAGACCGCCGCTGGCTGTCCATGCTTCTGGGCTGTGAGCTGTGGGAGGAGAGTGGGAGGTTAGTGGGAGGGGCTGGACAGTGTCAGTGTTCTATAATTTTTCTCGATCCTATACATTTTCTCGACTGTGTCACTTCCAGTGGGGCCGAGTCATCCGAATCAGCTGTTTTCATGACCCCCTTTCTTCATGGCATGTGCACCTGGAAGAGAC